CTTTGATATAAGAAAAGCTCCTTCGTTCAAGTTCCATCTCTAATCTAAATTTAAGGATTAAACGATGCCAATTAACGAAGCAGATCTCAGCTGCTGGGACTCAGGGTTAACTCCCCTTGCAGAGCTCGTTGGACACAGCTGCCAACAGCCTCACGCCTGCCACAGGGCTTTCATCCAGGCCCGTCAGCGAGGATTTTAACTAAGTGCTGCAAGGGGTTATGGAGGAAACTGAATAAAATATTGGCAGTTAAAGTTTATCCCACAGAACCAAGCTACAGCAAGGTTTTCACACTAGTGTTCTAGCTTGATTTTAGCACTCATTTGCTTAACAGCAACAAGCTCTTCCCACAGGAAAATGGCAGTTCATAGCTAATGCATTTGAAATGTCATTTGCACCTTGTATTGTTCCATATAATTTTAAGTTAGTGAACATGAACAAGAACATTTCTTGAGATAAGGAAAAGCAACAAAAAACATTTTAACTTCACTGTCACCAGCCACATGGACCAGTGCCCCAGAGGAAGACATGGTGGTGACAGCAGGTGGCTCTGGGGTGTCCTCCCCAGGTCTCGCTGCAGGCCCTGAAGGGGAGTCAAAGCCCTGCATGGAGGAAAGCCTCACACATAGGTAGTTACAGGTTCAATTAGCATGACTCCTCATCAGGAATTACCAAACCCAGTCTACCTTTGGTGAGCTTTCCTAAGGATAGTTTCTAGATTTTCTCCTTTAACAGAACACCAGCAGGGGCCACGAGCAGACATGCAGGCTTGTGAGACACCCACCATTGCAGTGCCCATCACACACACTCTCTTTCCAACAGAGACACAGCAGTACGAAGCTGGATACCCAGCAGAGCAACTACTCACCCCTCCATCACCTGCAGGCCAGCAGCAGCCGGAGGCCCAGCTCGTCTTCCAGCAGACTCCTGCAGTAACACAGCTCCCAAGTGACCGGCAAGCATTCCCCAAAAATGGGAAGCAGCCACCTGTGTGAGCCCAACACCTTTTGTGAGCTCTCTGGGAAGATTTAGTCCAACCACGTGCACCAAACTGCCGATTCTCCGCTGCTAGGGCCCTCCCAAACCCCAGCTCCAGGCTCCCCGACCTGCTCTCCTCACTGCTTGGCCAGGCAGGCCCACCTCTCCCTCAGCCTCGCTAGGGCTGCTGGCCCTCAGCTGTGGGGACAGCAGCTCCAGCCCCCACACCGCTCGCCAGCTGGGGTGGCCACTCACAGCCATGCCTCTACGGCTGGAGGTACAGCTGTGTCTGGACAGGCCGGATTGATGGGCTGAGACCAACAGGATGAGGTTCAATAAGGCCAAGTCCTGGGTCCTGCACTTGGGTCACAACCCCAAGCAATGCTACAGGCTGGGGGCAGAGTGGCTGGAGAGCTGCCGGGCAGAAAAGGACCTGGGGGTGTTGGTTGATTGTTGGCTGAACCTGAGCCAGCAGTGTGTCCAGGTGGCCAAGAAGGCCAACAGCATCCTGGCCTGTATCAGGAACAGTGTGGTGAGTAGGAATGGGGAAGTGATCGACCTCCTGTACTCGGCACTGGTGAGGCCTCACCTTGAGTACTGTGTCCAGTTTTGGGCCCCTTACCACAAAAAAGACATTGAGGTGCTGGAGCGGGTCCAGAGAAGGGCATCAACATTTGATCTCATGTAGGAATGGCTGTACAAAGGGCTGAAAGCAGCGTGCCGCTGGAATAAGCCGAACCAAGTATCAGGATGTACAGAAGCAAATGTCACGCAAGGTCAAGCAGGTGCTGCTAAAAAACTCATCCTGGCACAAAGCCTGGGTCTCACTGATGTCCAGAGGCTCTTTTGCCACATTCTCAACAGCACCAAAATGGCACAGGTAGGCTTTACAGGGACAAATCAAGTGAAAAATCTCTTTATTAAGAAAAACACTTCTAAAACAAAGAAGACATCAAATGAGCGTAGGGTCGCAGACTCAATTACGTTCTTCTGTGGCAGCGTGCACTGGTAATTCTTGCTCAGGGATTTATGATGAATGCACCAGGAACACTGCTTTGCTTAAAACCACTAATACCCATAAAATGGTGGTATCAACACCAACACAATCTAGCAGTGCTTTTGCATGAACCCCTTACTGCACTTAAAAATTGCTGCAGAAGCATTCTGCTCTTTTATTTTGAAAAATGTAAATTTTATTACTGCTTTAAGACTTCATATATGATTTTACAGGGCACTAGATAAGCTGGCCTAGCATTCTGTAAACCAGCAATCCTTAACCCAGAGTGACAGTCATGAGCTTTACAAATTATTTCATTTCTTCATAAATTATCCTCTTCTAAGATTAGGAAAACACAAGTAAATCGCTGAAGCCACTTTGCTGATCTGCTACATTTTTCTGAACAACAAAAAAGAACATTTATTTTCACCTGGGGGCTGAAATTTCATCAGCCATATTGATTACCTACATCCATGAATTAGACACCTGAGCTTAGTTTGGTAGGTTAAAAAGTACATCCACATTCATGCCCACATACTTAAGACATGTTTAGGGTACGATATTCCCAGTCAATATTGTGTGTCTGTTTTTTTGGCTCATACAACTAGGCAATTCAAACCAGCTCATAATTAATCTTGATAAACAAGATATATGGAGAGTGGAAGATGGTGTTTGCATGTGTGTAACTTGGGTACGTAGCGAAGCGGTCTACCCCACAGCCACATCATGCACTACCAAGCACAGAGCTCAGACTGTTCATATTCAAATTTACACTGGACATTGCTCTGACAGATAACTTCTAGAACAACTGGTTATTTATTTTAAAAAACCACAAATATAAGCATAGATGGGGCCAGAAAAGCTTACATCTTTTTGTATTGTCAAAACAGTTTGATTTGTTTCTTTTCCAAGGAACTTGGGAGTCTGTAAGAAGGAAAAGTGCTGGAAAATAAGAATATAACCTTATTACAGAAGAAAAAAAAAAAAAAAGCAAACAATAATGTTGGCCATTCAGTCAGAGTTACTCCTTCTCGAGTCTGCACTGGATGAATGCTGCAATACAATTTTATTTCCCACATTACTGCAGGATTTTCTGATTTGGAGTAGGTGTAACGTATACATCATGACTATTGTGCCCACTGAAAGAAAGCACAAGACTAACCTCTGGGGTGTCTGGGAAAATTCCAGAAACAAAGCCCAGGGACCTTGCTGGAATCCACTGTACTCCCCTAGAGTTCTAGGATACTTCAGGCAGAAAGTGTTTAGTAGTGACAGCTGAAGATACGTAGATCCAGATAAGCTGATATGCTTGGATTGAACATGACTGGATCTCTGGTAGCCACTTCTTCATTGTTGGATTTTGTTGTTGCTGGTTTGCTGAGGTTTTTTTAAGTTCAGGCTTTGACTACTATAATAGCAGGGTTGTAAGCATAGATTTATGGTTTTGGTTTTGCTTTTCTAATTATTTAACTGGACACAGGAATTGTCACTTTCCTTTCTAAATCATCAGCTACTCACCGCTGTTGGACAGCTTCCTAATTCATTCCAGAAGTCAGTGTATTGATATTACTACATAAAAATGAGTAAATCACCCTAAGACTCTGCAAAAGGAAAGACAGTAATTTAAACAAAGTAGTGGGAAAGTGTATCACTGTAACCATTTCCACAATGTGCCAGTGGCCAATTGCTACAAAAAATATGCAACATAGGTGAAATATGTAACTCAGGATCCAGTGATCGAGCCCTTAGCTTCACCACAAGAAATAAAAATTATCTCAATTCTTCAGGAAGGCAGAACTAGTAATTTTAACTATAACAAAGCACAAGAATCCTAGTAATCCAAGCCCCCTGAACTCACCTTTTGCAAACGCGTAAAGAATCAAGTTCCCTTAGAGAAGTTATAGAGTATGTATGGGAGCAGAGACCAAAGAAGGGATGCTGCAGTGGAAGAGCTGAAGGAGGAGGCAGTGGGCAACATGGCCAAGGTGCTGTGGCTTCAGCCAGCCTGCAGCCCCATCTGCTCCATAGGGCTTAAAGGCCCGCAGGGGTTAATACAGTTAACTTCTAGCTCCTCCAGAGAGACAAAACTACGGAAGTGAATGTCTGCTTGTGGATATTTTAAACAGAAAAGAAAACATATGGCCCTCTGGAACTATGCTTGCTGTTTCACCAGCTGATACGACACAGAGAACAGATAGCCTAGGCCTAGAACTAATTAGAGAACAATTTAGGGAACATACTTCAAAAAAAGTTCTCAGATTAGCAAAATGGAAAGACAAGAAAGTTAAGAATGCTTATATATACTAACTAGTAAAAAATTTTAAAAGCACAAAATATCTTAACTGTAGAAAACAGCAGTTTCTTACCTGTGAGGAATATTTCTGCAAACTATGAAAGACAACTTAGAATGAATTAAAACCAGCCTTTTCTCTCCCACATGTTATTTTGTGATTCTGCACATAGAGACTACCAATGACCAAAAATTAAAACAGAAGAATGGGCTTAATTCAGAAGGCTGAAAAGAAAGCTCAGTAATTTAATTTACAAAATCGGAAATTTCATTTAAAAATGTAATCATGTGCATTAAAACCACAGGTGTGATAAATAAAGAGTCAAGGGCAGCCATACGAACATCTTGAAATTCAAGTCTTGAAACACAGAATCATAGAATGGTTTGGGTTGGAAGGGACCTTAAAGATCATCTAGTTCCAACCCTCCTGCCATGGGCAGGGACACCTCCCACTAGAGGAGGTTGCTCAAAGCCCTATCCTGCTAAATGTTTGACGGTGCAAATTGGTTAGGTAGCCTGGGCCCAATGCAGAGCCAGTGTGTGCACACACAACCAGAAACCCAGCAGAAGCAGCCATGGCTCAAAGGGGCTGGAGTTGTGCACTCTCCAGGGACAGCAAGGCCAGCAGGGATCTTAAGAAGTCATCTTGTCCAGTCCTCTGCCAGAGGATGAACTGTGCCTTAAACATCGCCAAGCTTTAAAGTCTTCTATGTTTAACTTTTACTTTAAAACTTGCATAATTGATTTGATAATGTTCTCAGGAAATGTATTGCAGAGTTTTGCAAAGTTACCATCAGAATTATTTTCTCCTAATACCTAATCTAAAGGTAGGTAATTACTTCTTGTCCTGTGAACAGGAGATTTGAAGAACAAGGTTTTGGATTGTTTTGTGGTTCTTTTTTACTGTCTTCTCTGCGATAGCTTTTTACAAATGTGAATAGTCCTTTAAGTCATTGCTCCTACAGACTAAACAAACCAAATTCTTTCAATTTTTACACACAAAATGATGTTGTCTAGCACTCTCATCTTTCTTGTCTCTCTCCGCTGGACTCTTTCCAATTAGCCCCCCCAACGTCCATGAAGTGTGGTGCCTTAAACTGGATATAGTATTCCAGCTCAGACCTCATTAGATCTTACTAGGCCCAATTAGAGTAAAAAGGTTATTTCATGTGAATTTAATGGGCAATGCTTATTTATTCAGTCTAGTATGAAATTCGCTTTTTCACAAAACATGACATTATTGACCCATGATTAGCTTGCCACTCACTGGAATCTGCATGTCCTTTTCCACACAATTACCACAGCTGCCCAGGTCTCCTCCATCCTCTGTTACTCACTTCAATACTTCCTATTTGCTCTTAATGAAGCCAATCCTACTTAAGTCACCTAATTTCAGCAATTAATTTAAATAACTTCTTGTTCTAATCTATTCCTGCAATACACTTTCAGCCTTTATTGGCAATAATTGCTTGTAAATGAACTATCTGTTGCATAATCCAATCTATTTTATAAAGTATATTAATTAGCATAAAATTGATCTAAGTAAAGGCGTCTGTGGTGACAGTGAATTGCTAACAACCACCCTAAATACAAATGACCCTTGTAGATCCATTTAAACTATGCTTCCTGTGGTGGCTATGAAAATGTCAAAAGCAGTCTTTTCCAAAAGCCCCGTAACAAAATCAAGATGTGTCACCCTTGAAGCTTCTCTGTTCACAAGTCAATTATTCACTCATAGAAGGAATTATCTGATAGGATTTGTCTCATATGTTATTTCCCCTTTTCTCTGAAATTGCGTGTGAAAAAAAGAGGATTCTGGAATTGAAAAAGAGGTATAGGAAGCATTTTCCCTCAGAACAAACATTAAAAACAACTTAAATGCATATTTCAATTTGTGAAGATCTTCAGAATAATGAAAATCGTAAAGATAACAGTGAGAATTCAGAATCATTTCTAAACTTTCAGATTTTGTTCAGGGTATCTCACTGTAAAGTTTGCATGTCTGAAAACATATTTTAAAAGAAAATGATTGAAAAAATGGACAGCCCTACTTTATGAAAAGAAATCTCTGTACTTTATGAGGAGTCATAGAGTTAGGTTAAGTTCAAATGTAACTCTACACATTTGTCTTCTTCCAGTCTACTGCATCTACTGCCAATAGTTAAAGTTTACTTCATATGTACTCATACTCCTTCGCATCTGCCCAATTTTTAAATCTTTGCTGTGGTGACTATAGTTCCTAGTTGCTAATTTCACTGTTCCCCACCTCTCCAAAATCAAAGCTCCAATTACTAGTTCAATATTTTGGTGCCATATGAGTCCTCCTTGTCCATGTTATTTTACACATCAAATAGGTGAAGGGAACATCCTTATCCAATTGTATTTACTTTAACAGAAATGCTTACTCCTTCCAGATACACCCCCTACATCTAGATTAAGATCCCGAATTAAAAACCAATGAAAACAGGCCTTTATTTTTCTACAGACTTTGGTGAATTCTCAATCAGTCCATTGGTAAACAAAATTCCTTCCCTACCTGTTACATTTTATTGAAAACATTGCTGTCCTACACACTAAGAAAGAAGTAGTAGGTCTTTAATTAGTCTATTTTTATGTACAGGTTATGTTATATAGATAATATAAAAGGTTAGGGATGGTCACATGCTAGGCTAAGTTCTCTGAAGACACATTGATGCCACCATGCTAGGCAACTGTTCAAAGAGAACAAGCCAGGATTCACAAACTTGATGGAAGCTCCATAACAAATCCATAGAACATCACAGCTGTAATAGATTAATCTAAAACACTTGATTTCATTGGTCTGATTTTTAATATTGTGCTTGATGTTACAAATAAAATATAACTCTAATTTATAAAATTTTCACATTTCCATGTAAAACCAACAGTAGGTTTAAAGTAAAAAGAGCTTTGCAGAGGCAACAAGCTTTTTCTTCAACAAGATTCTAATTTTATAAGAGTAGAGAAATGCGTAAACATAAACATTCATGATTTTCTTTAGTACACAGCTGTGTAAATTATTTGATACAAATATAATTTACTATAGAAATATTTTGTTTGTTTGTTTTTGCTACACACAGTTCTATGCTGGCATCACATACTAGTCAATTAATCTTTCAAAGAGTGACATTTATACATTTTGCATCTTTCAAAGAATGAGATTTATACATTTTGCATTTTAACACCCAGTATGTCCATTGCCAGCAGTGGACTTCATGTTCAGAGAATCAGACTCACAGTGTCAGCAATCTTAAATTAAAATTCAGTACAAGATTATAAATAGTCAAAAATGAATGCATCATTTTCATATCATAATTGCCAGATGCTTAGAGGCCGTGATCCAAGCCAACCAAAATCAATGACAGTTTTCCCACTGACTTAGCTGGAATTTACCCGCAGCTCCCAGTCACTGTAGACTCTCATTTTAGTTTTGCGATTCTGTCACAGCGTGAAGAGTTAAAAAGTGCACAGTATCACAGCTTCAGTGTGAGAAGTAAAGCCTCTAAGTCTTTCTGGGCCTCTTTGTCCTGAAAGAAACAGACAATCATGCATCAACTTAGATAGGATAAATCCCTTCATTTGCCTTATACGTGCCTATCCACATTTCTTTACTAACAACAGACATAACACACAACTGCAGCAGCCACAGAATGTACAAGACTGTATAGTAAGTTAATTTATCAGTGATTGCAAAAATAAAGTTTGAAGTGAAAACAAGAGCCAGATGGCAGCCCTCCCTTTACAGCTCTGGTAAAGCACTTAACATGTTAGCCACTAATAGCCTTCTCAGCGGACCAGTAAGCCTTTCAGCTTAGGCCATTAACTTTTATTGGTGTACTTTGCATAAAGTACTGCCTTGCCTTATACCTTACGTAAGCTTGCACCCTGACTGTGTGCAGTTTTTCTACAGAGATTTCGGTGATGTTTGCTAATGATTTGTTACGCAATTAACAAGAAAACATTGGGAAACGTAATTAATGACATAGGTTAGATTGTGTTTTCAGTGCATACAGCCATACCTACCTGCAGTAACCACCACGGACTGCCTACACCCTTGGTATCTTCCATACTGGTGCTGATGGGCTCTGCCTACGCTACTGGGCTCAGAGCAGAGCAGAGCCAACGGGGGAGCAAGAGGCAAGTAATCTGCTCTGCTCAGAGCCAACACTGTATTCTACCTCCTAGGACAGAAGCAAAAGGCTCCTTTTAGGCTGACGTGTAAGTTCACAGTTTGCATGGGACTTTAGACCAAACCCAGCCCACAAACTCTTTCACAGGTAACTAGTGATGTACTTTTTGGCTATTCCATCTTTAAACTGTTCGGAAAGGGGTACGTGCATATGAACATGTAACCGCAGTACAAAACTCCGTTATCCTACTTATTTTTGAAATGTCTCCTGGATATAATCCACTTGCTTTACTTGCCATCGCAAAATTTCTAGCTTACAAAATGCACCTTGGTTTAAAACCATACTTCTAATAAGTCAGGACGTCATACCTGCAGGCTGGTAAGGGTCCAAACACCCAATACACACAGCCATGTGTGCTTAGCAGTGCAAGCCAAAAGCACTTGCACATCACAAATTTTGTGCAAGTATTTCTAATGACAGAGACCGGTATTTCTTTCCCAGATAACACCACAGGCAATTCTGAAAGAAAATACTGTAGACAGACAGTGAAGTAATCACTGAATTTCAGCATCACTTCATTATCCAATCAACCAAAGAGCTGGAACAAAATACAGGACATTTTAAAATACATTTTACGGGTGAAGAAATTCCTGCTTCTCTTTATTTTGGTTAGCTGTCTATAATGTCACGGAGGAATAGAGAAGAATATTGAGATGATAGAAACCATATGCCAGACATGTCAAACTACATTATATTATTGGTCTGGATTAAGGCATTAATACATTAGCTGGACACTTCTCTTGGAGTCACTGCCTTGCTCCCACTGGCAGCAATAGGCTAAACTATCTGCCTAATCATTTATCAGAGGCCTTAAAAGGCACACACTGCAAAGCCAGGAAGCTCTTGCCAAAATACTCTAACAGAAGGAAATGTCAAACTGAATTCAGCACCCCTTAAACTCCATGTCACTACAAGCCGCCTGGAGCACCAGCCCATGGCTGTCACTAAAAATTGGAAAACTCAACATTTGTATCAATATTTTGATTAGTTCAGAGAAAATACACTTTTCTGTACTGACTGTGGTGAACTTGTGAAAATGATTCTAAACGATTAAACAAAACTGTAAAAAGCCAGATATCATCCCATGCTATTAAGAAACCAAAAAGGTTTCATTGTACCTGGTCCTATTCTTTTCACACTTTTCTAAGCCCAAAATATAACAATGCAGGTTTTCTCGTATTTGAATGGTGCTCAGCTTTTCATGGGTTGATGAGATTCTTAACTCACTTTGCCAGATATCACATTTTAAAAATACATCTCCAAATATCTTTGTATCATTGTCTTTCTCCTTAGACGCAAAGGATTATATTGAGCAATGAGTTCTAATGAGTTGCAAAGATCCTGAAAACATTGGGCAATCTTTCTTGAACCTTCCTCTGGGCTGAGGAAAAAAACATGAAACAAACCCATGATTGTTCTAAGAACTAGCTGGAGAACAAACTGCAAACATGCAAAGTGTCCTACCTTTGGGTTGCCAGTTCTAAACAAGACTACATCAAGTAAAAGTGGGAATTATTACTGTTGCAAACCACGTAACCGGCTGCATTAACTGAGCCAGTGGCTTCCAGTCAATAATAAGAACTCAGATGGCAAAAACATTTAAAAACATCATTTATGGCACTAAAAACAAAGCTGAGAATGACCAGGGAAGAGAACTATTATGTCACCTTTGGATAGAGTCCTTCCAGACCAAGAGGTGTGTCACACTAAAAGGAGAGAGAAGCCACAACCGTTGGGTGTACCAGCCTCCCGCTTTAAGGATGGAAAGTTCATCAATGCCCAAAGCCTGACTGTTAGTGGGAAGGAAAAGCCATAAATCCTGTATTTGGCCAGCTCTCTTCCTCATTGATTTCTGGGTTTATGGCTTTCTGAAAATGAACAATCAGGTCAGCTTTTTTATTTATTTATTTATTTTTAAGACGCGCAGGCTTTGATCTCCCTTTAGAGTGCAGCAGGGAGAGGAAGAGGCGCAAATCGCAGAAGGAATGCAATAGATTTGCATCACTCCCATTTGTTCACCCTGAGGCTTAGTTCAGCGCTGACTAAATGCACAGCCATTTTCAACCTTGACTTTCTACTGTCAAGGCTTACATTTATTAAACACTTCTCATATCATTTTCAGAGTTGAATACAAGTTCAAAATGTTCTGCAAACTGCTACACAAAAGCTATTCAAATTACAGGGTCAGTGACTGTATTTTACCCTCTTCCTATTTAGTTGCTTTGCTTTTCTGTTTCATCATCCACAGGGGATATGCACAGGAAAAAAAGACCTGGGAGGCCAGGGACTGAACAAGGGAAGAGAGAGTTGAAAACAAGAGCAAGACAGAAGAAAGAGAGCAAAAGCTGGTGGGAAAAAGGGAATGTTGGCTTAACTGGAAGTAGTCCACGTTTTGACAGTTAATTTCTGCTGAAAAAAATCACTGATAAATGTGTGTACACACATATAAATGTGCATGTAAAAATTAAATGCCAATTAAAGCAGAGACAGAAAGATAATGATTTTACTTCCCATCTCTGCTAATTATTTCCTTATGCACTAAACACATTCAACCTAGGCACTGCACATGTGTGCACTTGACAAAGTCCCAACTGTCAACAGAAAATGATACAACCCCATGACCACAGCCAAAATGGCTACACCAGCCAACTATAACATAATTGTGTGCAACCACTGCCAAGTCCCAAGCTGACATGCATCCTGTAGGGTTTCATTGAAGTCAGCAGGGCTTCATGGTATATTAAATGAGCTGGGCTGCAAGGGTGGTCCAAAGCTGTACTCTGATAGGCAGCAACAGCAAGGAGGTGCCGAGAGCCCACCCCTGCCTTCAGTTACAGCTGTATCATTCCTTCGCAGCTCCAGCAGAAATCCTGAACTGTAACAGAACAGACACCCAAACGTGCACAAGGATGGTTAATTAGAGAGTAATAGCTCTTGGGGACAATATAAATCATATAAAGCTATATGCTGTCCATTCTTAGTTTCACGATAGACTCTCACAGATGGTGTGACTGTTGTAGGCGTTCATTTGCATACAATTGCATAATACTGGTTTTCCCCTTAGATATTTCAATAAACCAATGCAATCATCCACTTGCGACCTTCTGTATGACTGCTGTATGTCACAAGTTAGGGCATTTTATGTTCTTTCATACTTTTATTATCTTCCTCCGGGGAAGAACCATGACTTCTCAAGGCTTTTAGAATCAAGGCAAGCACAGCTTTAAATATGCAGCTGACAATAATTCCGCAGTATCAGATTATGCTTCAAGTCGAGGGAGAAACATCCTTTCACACCCAAAAAAATGAACAGTTCAGCTAGTTTGAGGACTGCTGCTGAAAAATTACAAAACAACAGAATTTAGAATACTTAATAGTTCTGTGAAACTTTTATCCGCTAGTTCTTTTCTAACTTAAAAGACTTAAGTTTCACCTGCAATCTGGTTTTCTTTTACTATTGTACACAATGCAGAGCTTTTGATGTTCAAAACATTCCCCTCTTTCTGTCCAGTGCCTGCCCCCACCATGGTGTGACCTACAGCCCAGTCACCACTGAAACAACTTGAACGTGATCCCTCCCAGTCACAGCCCGTTCAGAAAGATGCTCTCCTTCACCCCCTGTGTTGACTCTGACAATGTATTTCAAACACCTAGAAGCCTGACCTCCCCTGGCCACTCTACAAGAATAGGAAAACAATTGCAAACCTCTTCCTCCTGCAGTGCACCACCACCTCTGGGAATACTTCTCCCACTCTCCCCCTAAACCATCAGTGCACCAGAGCAGGAGATTGATAAACCCCGTGCTTTGAGGAACCGTCCATTGATCATTCAGTAAGAGCTATGCTAAAAACTGGGTTACCTTTGATAGGATGCTGAAATGAATACTTTGTGATAAGCTACTCAATTTGATCATAAATATAGGAAGCTCAGTATTTATCAGGATAGACTCCATCCTTATGTATGAAACACTACACGACAAAAAATATCTTCATCATTTTTGGAATCCTTTCTGGAGAGGGAGAAAGAATAAGCAAACAAACCTTTTTGGCAAGAGCTTCAAAAGCATGCAGATGGCAAATCAGTCTGATCACTAAGATAGAGAAAAATAGACTGTATTGTCTGAAGTGCAAAATAATGTAAAATAGAGGAGGTCTCAAGTTCTTTTAGCAGCTCTTTCACAAATGTCTCATTTTTCCCAGCATTTTACAGTTTGAAATCTGATCTCTTTATAATGTTTTTAAACAGCCCATTCCCTGAGCTTGAAGCACTCATATTCAGTGTAAATAGAATCACTAATTAAGGAATAGTTTTTTAAAGTATATTCAAAAGATACTTTA